TCTGGGTGGAATTTTAGAAACTGGTTGAATAAGTAATAGAACACTGTAGGAGGCAATAGAAGGTAATAGAACATTCTAGAAATTTGTAGTAAGTTCCAGACTCATTATGTATGCTGATGTAATGGTCTATTTATAAACAGTGTGGGTATATATAGGGGAGTTGTTCAGCACTGAGTTCAGATCGGAGATCTTGTTGAATTGTATTGGAGTTTAAGTATCTAGTTATTGGAGGTTTGGAGTTTTACCGAGTTATTGTACTTGATGTTTGCAGAGTATAATAATACCAGTACCAGTTGAAACCTCATCTGTTGGCTCCGTGTTCGTATTTTATCATCGCCGCCAGGGAAGTCTTTTTGTTACTGTTGCCATTTTGGTATTTGAACCATCACACCTGTACTATACCAATTACGGTAATATTACGTTGCGTGTGACATCTGGGGGCTCGTCCGGGAACAGTGAAGACATATAGAAGACAACATGGCCAGCGAGATAAAAGATATGTCGAAACAAGAGTTGATGGAATGGGCGGATGAACTGGGAATGACTGGAGAAGACAAAAGGAAATTTATTTTGGCGCAACTGAGTTCTCAGCGAGCTGAGAGACAAGTGGCGAGGGAAGAGAGAAAGGCAAAAATGGAAATAGAAGCAGAGGTGAGGAAAATGGAGATAAAGGAAACGTTTCGACTGAAAGCGGAAGCAGGTGAAAGAGAGAAATTGTGAATGGAAGCAGAACAGCGGGAAAAGGAAAGGGAATCAGAGGTAAAGAAAATGGAGATTGAGGAAAGAAAGGAAAAGTTACGGCTGGAAGCAGAAGCAGGTGAAAGAGAGAAATTGCGAATGGAAGCAGAACAGCGAGAAAAGGAAAGAAAATGTGAGTTGAGGAAATTAGAGCTGCAAGCAGCAATGCCGGGGCTCCAACAGGCTGATTTTGGCGGTCAACGAAATGTGGTCAGTGATGCACAGTCACCAAAGTTGCCTGCATTTGTTGATGGTAAGGACGAACTTGATAGTTATTTATTGCAGTTTGAGAGGTTTGCAACGAATGCGAGTTGGCATAGAAATGGATGGGCCACAAAATTGAGTGCGCTGTTGACTGGTAGAGCAGTGGCACTGTTGACAAGATACGATTTCACAGAGGATGGGTACAGGAAGCGATTCCGTGAAATTAAACCTGAAAGTTCCGAGAGTCCTGACCAGTTAATTGTGCGGCTTAAGAATTATTTTGTTAAATGGGTTGAGTTGTCAGGCACTGCAGCAACATATGATGGTGTTACTGACTTGATGGTGAAGGAGCAGTTTATTGGTGCATGTACAAAAG